TGCGTGCGTGCGTGCGTGCGTGCGTGCGTGCGTGTGTGTGTGTGGTGCGTGCGTGTGCGCGTGCGCGTGTGCGTGTGCGTGTGCGTGTGCGTGTGTGTGTGTGTGTGTGTGTGTGTGTGTGTGTTACAAAAGAAGATTTGTTAGCTTGGCTTGCACAGTTGGAGGCGATGTTGTCCTGCAGTGATTGTCCACTTGCTATGGAAGCAGAGAACCTGGGAGTTGCCCAGACCAGGAATCTGGAATCCTGCTCAGAACAAGATGACCCCAACCCAAGGCTAAAAGCCTGGAGCTTCCTGGAGCTGTTGCTGGGAGTCAACACCGCAAGGCTGAAGAGGCTAGAGCAGCCATAGACACCTTTGCTCTAGAAGAATGGAGTTTGCACACACGGCTGGCTTTCACTCACTCTGACCCTGCCTGGGTCCCCAGCCTATTGAATGGGGTCACCATGTTCAGGGCAGGTCCTCCCACTCAGTTCTGTCTTAACTGCCAACCATGTCAGTGTCCTTGTCAGTCACTTTGTGTTGCTGTGGTGAGCTCCCTGATGGAAGCATGTGAGGAGGGAGGGTCTCTTGGCTCGTAGTGTGAAGGGCCAGTCCGTGATAGCAGCAGGAGCTTGAGGGAGCTGCCCCGTTGCGTCTGCAGCCGGAGTGCTGAGTTGAAGGCCGGAGAGGAGAGCTGGTGCTCAGCCCACTTTCTCTTTCTTCTGTGTAGCCCAGGCTGGCCTTGAACTCACAGAGATCCACCTGCCTCTGCCTCCTGGGGGCTGGGATTAAAGGTGTGCACCACCACACCCAGCTCGCTTTCTCTTTTTCACTCTCTTTTTCTTTTCCGGCCTGTGAAATAAGACTGCCCACATTTCAAGCGTCGCCTCCCCACTTACCCTGTCCAGGAACTCCCTCCCAGACCTGCCCAGAGGTCTGTTTCTATGGTGATGCTAACTTTCACCAACGAGACAGTCAAGATTAACCCTCAGTCTTAAGAGCCACACCCAGAAGTTAGCTTTACTAATCGAAGCAGCATCCCTTAGTGCAGTCGGGTTGGCAGTCAACCCTCCCAGGGGTCTTCCTGGCAAGGCGGTAGCCATCCACCCACTCGGAATTGGGGTTTCCCACAAGGGCCAGTGCTGTTGGGAGTCGAGACATGATGCTGAGGGACAGAGGAGCCCACTTTCTCTTTCTCTCTCTCCTGCACTGAAGGCTCCTTGGAGGAGAGTCACTCAGATGTTGTCTGCTGTGTGCCTGGTGCAGACCCCTTAGTCCCGGGGTGCTGTAAAACCCTCCCAGCTCTTCTCTTCCTCCTCTCCCAGGCTCCAAGGAAGTGGGCAGCATGGTCCCCGTTTGTCAGGTGAGGAAATGGCTCCCTCTCTGATGCCGAGGACCGTGGACCTGTGCGTCTGTGTACGCTCTAACGATGAGTCTCAGCCTTCAAGAACCTGGGAGCTGCTAGCACCCCTGGCCCCACCCTGTGGAAAAGTCATGGGTTAGTTATAGCATAGACCGGCCACGTTAGGCTTGTCGACTCTAAGAGACCAGATGAGGCAGCTTGGAAGAAATCAGGCTGTGCCCTCCCGCCCCCAACAGAGAACTGACAGCCCTGCCCTGGCTGTTCAGAGCACACAGCCTTGGTGGGAAAGGCAAGCCCAGTCCCACTCCCTTGCGGCTGGCTGCGTGGTAAATTTATGCTCTCCCTAGTGCTAATGCCCCTGTTCCCCTTTGCTTGCAGGCTAGGCCATAAATCACATGGTGTGGCACTTCCTGCCAGCCCTCCCCCTCCCCCAGAAGCTCTGAATCAGAAACCCTCCTTGTTCAGGGGATTTTGAAAGTTCTTCCCTTCAGGCCCAGTCTGGCTGTGCGTGGCAGCAGTCTCTCCTAATGCCGCTCCTCCCCAGTTTTGAAGGGAGGGCTCTTCTCTCCCTTCAGGACCCCATCATGGCATCTCTAGTATAAGTGTGCTCTCTCCTAATCTCCTCCTTATGGTCAGCCGGTCTCTGCGTGTCCGTCTCTCCCCTCCCAGCCCCCACTCTGCTCATCTGAAGGGTAACCTCAGGTCAGCTCCATTCCCAGACCTACGTCCTCAAGGCAGAGCAAAGGGCTTGGGGTGGGACCGCAGCAGGTTCCTCGTGCCTCTGCCCCATGCCTGGCACAGGACTGATGATGGACACAGCTGTCAGGAGGAATGAATGAAAGACTTCCTGTGGCAAACACTAATGGCCCCCCTAGAGTAAGCACTAGTTCATTTTCCTGTCCTGCAGTTCTCCAGTTTTGTGTTCGTGAGAGTAAGGAGAAATATGTTCTGATAAAAACAGAGTGTGCTTGAAGTTGCTAAGAAGGATAGCAAACTGTGGCTGCAGCAGTGTGGTTAGCGATGGCCGAGAGTCAGTGGGTGTAGTGAGTGATGGGGGCGCCCAGCGCTGCTCACGGGTCACGCTCAGAAGCTGTCAGGCAGGGTGTTGGGCTTGTGGTCGGCAGCATGGCCCTCGGTGTGATGCTCACTGGTGCACTGGTTGACATTCAGTGACCGAGGGCCAAGCCTTATGGTTTCTCTGATGATTTTTTTCTTTTTAGAAGATTTACTGGATGGTGTTCTTGAATCCGATGATGATGAAGATGAAGATGATGAAGTAAGTTGAAGGCTCTTGGGACAACACAGAAAGCTCTGCCGTACTCCTCAGTGTCCCTCTGTGTCTCGAACACCTAGGCAGAAGTGGAATCTCCTTCCCTGTGCCTTTCCTTGCAGTTCTGGGGTTAGTGGAGACTCGGTGTGGGGTGGTTCTGTACCCTCACATGAGGTCTCATGTGGCTACCCTCATCCTCCACAACCTCCCTCCAGGTGGCTGGCATCTTCCAGTGCTCCAACCTGGACTTGGAAGGGTCAGAAGCTGGGCTCCCAGAGGGAAGGAGCCAAAGTTCCCATCCTCTCTGGGCTCCGAAGTCTCAGGACAGCACTCCTGTGGTGTTTGACTGAACATCCACCTAAGCCCAGTTCAGACTGGGGTGTGGACCAGACCGCACGACACCTGCATACCTCACAGGTGTGCGTCGCACCTCCTCCAGCTTCTAGGAGAAGGTGAAAAACAATAGTTCTTCTCTGTGAGTTTTTGCCCTGAAGGGCTGTGAGCCCTTGCCTGTCTCCTTGGCTCATGAGATGCCCTGGACAAGGGGTCCTGGTTTGGTTTGGAGCTGGCAGAACCAACCACTTGACTGCCCTATGTTCATCTTTTGGTGTAGGCTTGCTGGCTGTGACAAATCTGGCCCCTGGTCCTCAGGGCTTTGGTGAGTTGTTGTCAAGGACAGTAACTTAGGGGCTCCAGGCGGCAGCTGAGAGGATCAACTTCTGTGTGGCTTTCCCTTCAGACCTGGAAAGGACAGACATGTTATCCTATCATTTTTGTGGTGACAACATGACTTTTCTTCGTTCTGTGCATGGGGAGCAGTTAGTACAGATATGAACACTAAGAGCATCTTCTCTTTGGGGAGCATACATGGATGTGGGAAGATGGATTTGTAGTCTTGGTTCTGCTCTGTCAGTTTAAAGAGTGTTTGGTAAAAGCCAAATTTGTGTTCCCCAGAGGCATCAGTGAGGCCATGGTTAATTTAGGATCTGCCTGGTAACTAACTTCCCCAACAGCCCCGTTCCCTGCCTGCCATTACTTTTCTGGGCTGCAGGTGGCGCCAGTGGACACTCTTGCTTCTGCCTGATGGGGCAAGGGAGCCCCAGATCTAGCCACCATCCTCTCCATAGGGGACAGAGAGCAGCCCTGTCACAAGGGAAGCTGCTGTGGTAAAAAGTGGCTTAGCAGAGTCAGCTGACTTTCTGTAAAGGGGAAGGTTGGCAGTGTGGCCAACCTGGGAAGGCCACATGGTCTCAGTTTGACCACCCAATTCTGCCTTTAACACACAGTGGCTGTTGGGAAACCTGCTGTATTCCCTGAAAACTATTTGTTGACACTAAAAGTTAGAAGACTATATAATTTTCATGTCGTTCAATTTTCTCAAGTATTTAAAAGCATAAAATTCATTATTCTCTGGAAACTAAACAAACGTAGGCACCTGCAATCAAGGCTGTTGCTGCCTCCCTAGGGTAGAGCCCGGCCGCTGGCACCCGCTGGCACCCGCTGGCACCCGCGGTAAGGCACTGCCTTTGTGCTTGAATAGTTCTGAGTTAGGCATTTCATCCCATTAACCTTCTGTCACCTTATCCAAAAAAGGCTCCTCTCAAGTTCCGCTCTTCTTCTTCCTGTGTCATCTGTGGGGACTTTGGGGTTTCTCTGGTTTTTTGATGATTTGTTTTATATTGTTTGGAGACCAGAGTCTTATACTGTAGCCAAGGCTGGCCTTGATCTTGTCTCCTCTTGCCTCGGTTTCCCCAGTGCTAGAATGGTCACCATGCTTGGTTTGTTCAATTGTTTTGCCACTAATCCTTTCGTTTTCTATTAGAATAGGATTCATTTGGTCCAAGGATGCTGGTTAATCATGGGGACTCAGCTTGTGCACATTCCCCTGGTCAGGCAGTATGGCAGTCAGCTACACAACACACATGGACTGAGTTCTCTGCTGCTTCTCCACAGCGGTGTCTTCAGTCAGGCCTTCCGCTGCTATGACAAATGGAAGTCAAACGCAACCTGTGGAGGAGAGGGCTCCTCTGGTTCATGCTCCACATCACAGTGCGTGATCAAGGATGTTAGGGTGGGAACTCTAAGCAGGATTCTGGAGGCAGGAGCTGATGCAGAAGCCATGGAGGAGTGCTGCTTACTGGCTTGCTCCTCGTGGCTTGCTTAGTTTGTTTTTTATCCAGTCAGGAACCACCTGCCCAGAGACAGCACCACTCACATTGGGCTGACCCTTCCACTTCAGTCATCAATCAAAAAACTCTTCCAGACTTGCCTGCAGGCCAAGCTGAGGGAAGCATCTTCCCAGTCGAGGCTCCTTTTTGAAGATAACTCTAGTTTGTGCCAAGTTGACGAAAACCAACCAGGGCTAAGGGTGGATTTGAAAACATTTGTCACAGTAACTAGGCTTCTCAGAAGTTTCCTAAAAGAGGTTTTGTAGGACCAATGAAAGGACAGGGTCAGAAGTGACACTGACGACCGGAGGAAGCAGCAGGTCCTGGACTTCCCTCTCGGTGACCCTCGCAGGGGACGGCTGGGGACAGTCTGCTGCGTCTGCTTGCACCAAGGCCAGGCATTACTTTTCTAACTTGATTAAAATGGCAGATGCTCAAGTTAGATGTCGAGAGCGACTTGAGCGACAGTGCTGTGGCCGCCCTTCACGGAAGTATTGTCAGCACATAGGATCGATCTCACTTAGCAGTGCGCGAGCGGTTTGCGTTTGATGTCTGGGCCCAGTGCAAAGGCTCCAGTCACTTGCGCTCTTTTGAGGCAGCCGCACAATGGCGTGGCTCTGCAGAGGCCCCGGGCACCACAGGAGTTGTGCTGCCCTGCCTTCCACTGAGCCGAAATCTATGTTCCCAGCTTTCTGCCTCACTGCGAGCCCCTAAGGGGGCTCAGATGCAAAATCTAGTTTTTTTTCCTAATGTCTAAAAATGCAATTGTCCATCTAATTGTGGAAAACTCAATTATGTTGAATATCTACCCATTTATAACTAAAAATTAAAAATGACAGAGCTAGCAATGTGTCTCCTGACTGACAGGCCATCTGGGAAACACTGAGGAGGGCAAACACAGCTGGGTGTGGCGGTGTTAGCCCTCCGGAAGGAAGGAAGCTGAGGCAGGGAGACGATGAATTCACAGCCAACATGGGCTACATAGCAATACCTTGTCTCAAAAAAAATCATAAAGTTAATGTGACCAGTTCTTAAAGCAAAGCAAACATATAAATCTACACGCCTGTGAGTTATAGATACACTTATGTGCCCATGTAGCAGAAAGGTGTGGAAAGCTACACCCTCCTTATTGACATTAGGGGAAGAGGAATGAGGAAGTGTGGGTGGGAGGCTGAGAGAGGTCTTGGTCAACAGGGTTCCAGGCTGCAGCCTGTCCAGCAAGGGGAGAAGTAAAACAGAACAGTGGCTGTGGTGGGATGAGGTCATTTGCACAGTTCGGGGTATTGGATCAGTGGGCAAGGTCACACTACAGTAAACTGAGGAGCAAGCAGGGCAAAAGAAAATGGCAATGCTCAGTGTATTCTCCTTGTCACACAGTGCGGACACATGCAGGGGTGAAGGGCCGTTTGGGTTTGGTTTAAGATGGGGAAAAAAACTAAACATAACCACCATGGCTGCTGGCAGACATGAGACTGGACAGTCGAGGGAGAGGAGGGCCTCAAGGGACAGTGTTCTCATTGTCATCCTTTTTTTTTTTTTTTTTTTTGAGATGGGGTTTCTCTACATACCTAGACCAGGCTGGCCTCAAATTCACAGAGATCCGCCTGCCTCTGCCTCCTGAGTGCAGGGATTAAAGGTGTGCGCCACCACCGCCTGGCTCCCATTATCTTCTAAATTGCTTCACAGGGGCTGGACATGCAGATCAGTTGGTAGAATGTTTGCCTAACATACAGAGCCCTGGGTTCAATCCTCAGCACCATAGAAACCGTGCTTGGTGCTATGCATTCAGGAGGTAGAGACAGCAGATCAGAAGTTCAAGATCATCCTCCTTGATAACATAGTGAGTTTAATGGTGGCCTGGGGTACATGAGACCCTGTCTCTAATGAAAGAGAAAGATGGAGGGTGGGTAATAAATAACTTGCTTCTTGGATTCTTTTGGTCCATAAGGCTTCAGACCCATTTAAATCTCCAGAGAAATAAAAGAGCATTAGATAAGCTTGGAAATGCATTTGAGAGAATTCAAAATGCCAATCAGTGTCCAGGCAAGGGTTCAGATGCTCCCATGTAGTGCTTTGAAGAGCCGTGTTATCTCATGTGCTTTATTTTTATGATTAACATGAGCATGTGTTACTCAGGGGCTGGTAAAAAAAAAAAAAAAAAAAAAAACCCCAGAGACGGAAGTGCGGTTCTAGTGTCCTCACCCTCAGATGAGGC